ATGGGGACTGGGGGGTTGTGGTCAGTCCATAACATCTCCTCTGTGCTGCTCCTTCCTCCTCACATTCTTCCCCTGCTCCAGTGTGGATCCTTCCCATGGGTTACAGTCCTTCACGGTAAACCTGCTCCAGCCTGGGCTCTCCACAAGCTACGGTTCCTTCACGAAATATCCACCTGCTCCAGTGTGAGGTCCTCCATGGCTGCAGTGTGGATACCTGCTCCACAATGGTCTCTCCACGGTCTGCAGGGAAATACCTGCTCCAGCGTGGTGTCTCCAGGGGCTGCAGGGGATCCCTGCTCGGGTGCCTGGAGCACCTCCTCCCCCTCTTCCTCCCCCCTCTCCCCTCGGGGCTCGCAGGGCTGTTTCTCACACTTTTTCCCTCGCCCCTCGCTGCCGGGCAGCGTTTTGCCCGTTCTTACCCAGGCTTCCCCCGAGGCGCCGCCATCGTGGCTGTTTTTTTTGGCGGGCCTCGGCCGTGCCCTGCGGTGGGTCCGTTAGAGCTGGCTGGAACCGGCTGTGTCCGGCACGGGGCAGCCCCGGCCGCTCCTCACGGAGGCCGCCCTGCAGCCCCCCCATGCCAGCGCCTGGGCACCCGCACCCAGTCCAACTATCATGTAATTCTTCTAGATGTGGAATAACCTAACATGTATAACAGCAAAGAGAGGTATTTAGAGGTCTTCTGAACTTCTGTGATAGTGAATGTTCAGAAAAATACAGAAACTTGTATCCCTTGTAATGAGGGGTATTAAAATTATTGCTGAATAATCACAGTTACAGAGATACTACTGTGCCACAGTTCAGCAAAGTGTTCAGCAGCACAAATTAATCTGCTCTTATACGCACATAAGTGTATATATATCAACACAACACACATTTATATTCATATGTATGTGTGTGTCATACACAATATGTACAAAAGCATTTCTTGCTCTAATTTACCTAGCATGATGGCTCAAAGATCTTATCCATTTGCAGGATATAGACTGAGTTTACTCTTGCTCTGTAAGGGCAATATGATTAAGCTGCCCTCAATTTTGTTTTAAAAACTTTGTTTTTAAGTAAATAATTATTTATTGTTAGTTATGGAAAATATTACTGAATTTCTTTCATCGTGTTATGATAATACACTAAATCAAGAATACTATTCTCAGGCCAAGATTTTGATTATGATTTATAGTGCTTTAAATCTGATCAGTTGTGTTGCAGATGCTTTCAGATATCCCAGTTCTCAAAGACTGGGCAGAGAACTTTTACGTCATCCAAAAGTCTTATTTCGAGGCTTTCTAATTTCTTCCAATTTTTATTATCTCCATTTCTGTCAATTTACAGGTAGCTAGAGCCTCTCTCTTCCATAGATTGACTCAGACAAGTTTCCCTTTCCTTTTACAGGCAGGAATATGGCTGGTTTGCTCAGATTCTCCAGTTCTGTAAGGAGAGCTTAGGAATGTCATACCATAAATCCGGATTTAAGACCTCTGATCCAGAGTCAAAAACAGTAGCTCACAGGACACGAAACATAAAATCAGTATGACTTTACTCTTCTGGAGCTGATTTACTCAAAAGTTTTGACAGATTAAATTTGTAACAAAAAGTTTTGGACTGGATGGTACATTGTTTGTTTAATTTATTCTTGCTTTATTAAGGATGCAGCGCTGGCCATCCACAATGCCTTAACTTTATCAAGGGCTTGCATCCCATGGCACATTTATGCCTGGCAAGAAAGTATAAAACAAGCATACATTTCACAATGTCTTCTCTGGTTGGTTCACCAGATATGTGGTCAAAGAACCACGCCTTCCACAAATTAAATTTGTACTGCTGAATTGCCGTTCAGTTCTGAACATGTTGCTGAACTATGGCACAGTACTAAAAAACTCATTTGCCAGCGTTTCCTGTATACATAAAATTACTGTTAAAAAAAACTTTTAAAGCAGTGATGAAAGATACAGCTTTCACTGTTGTCCTCATAGCTGCACTTGTGAAGAATTACCAGAAAAACTGTATAAGCAGTAAATCAGACAGCAGTATTTTATATTAATTTTCACTTAAAATTATCAAATGACAAGAAATAGTACAAATCCAGTGACCAACCTTATATTTCTGTGGTTTTGCTTATTCTTCATCTGAGACAGAATCTTAAGTGCTTCCTTCCTGAAGAGATTTCTTTTCTTCCTATTTGCATATCTTGTGCATGAATATGACTGTTCAGGAAAGTTGTAAAACCCTATGTCAATGAAGTCTTATGGTGTAAATAATTTACAAGCGTCTCCTATAAATATCTGTTCATGTGGATTATTACCCTCCTTTTCAGGTTGTGTCTTTTGTCAGTCATTAATTCATACAAGCTTTCAAGACAGAAATGAAGCTGAAAAAATCATCTGATAAGAAATATGTTCCTCTTAGTTACTATGAAATTTTGTTTGCTTCTCTGCTTGTAGTTTTTGTGTGTGTTTCTGTTGGACTGATTGTACTTTCATGGTTATTAACCCACAAGTTAGAACGAGGTAAGCAGCGAACCTTTAACCTTTTCAGGAGCTCTGCAGTACACGTTCCGACTTTGAAGCCAGTGGTGGTGTAATTGTAATTATATTTCATATTTCATGCTATGCTTTTAATGCTAGGGGGGTGTTTTTGTGGTTGGCTTGGGGTTTTTTTATGTTTTCCTCCTCTTCTGCCCTGGAAATTGATGAACAAAATAGGAAAAAATACAAGCACTTGAAGCATGTCCTGAAGCTATAGAAAAGAATCTTCATGGTTTAGACTTCGGGAGAGGTCCCTGGAATGCAATCCAAGCTATAAAGCTTTGGTTATTCAATTGTATTCATCAACTAGAGAAGGTAATATGGCAAATTGTGAATTACTGCTTTTTTCTCCATGTATGAGGTTTGACTCAGAAAGACATTGATAATCCACTGAAGTTGGTGGAGAGCTTTAGGTGTTCTACATCTCTTGGAATCTTTTCATTTTTATAAAACAAAGTTTATTTTAAAGTCATTTATTGGTGTGAGAGACATCCTGCATTAGACAGTCGGCTCCCAGCCCTATGTAAAGTTAACATAAGGTCACTATTTAGCCAATGCTCAGAATGTGATAGAATTGAGCTACTGGTACTCAAACTAAATTAAAAAATCGACGTAGGATGATTTTCAAATGGAACTGAAATTTTGGTTTAAAGATCTTGTGGATATATGTTAACTGTGCCCTGGTAAGGCCACACCTGGAGTACTGTGTCCAGTTCTGGGCTCCCCAGCATATGAGACGTGTGGAGCTACTGGAGAGAGTCCAGTGAAGGACTGATGCGATTGTGGAGTCTCCATCCTTGGAGATATTCAAAAGCTGTCTGGACATGGTCCTGGCCAACTGGCTGTAGGTGGTCCTCCTTGAGCAGAGGGTTTGGACCAAATGACCTCCAGAGTTCTCTTCTAACCTCAACCCTTATGTGATCTAGATTTTTGACTGGAAGGAAATGTATTTAGTTCTATGGAGCTCTCACAGCTAATAGCAAAAAGATGTTTTGAAATGGGGTGAAGGAAAGAGGTTAGGCAAAATGTTCAAGAAATACATTTTTTCATTGTAGTGATTTTTGTAGCTGAAAAAATAATTCTGATACATTGAAGTTTTTGGTGCCTTTATTAACCAAAAGTCCATACTATTTCATACTGAAGCACATGAGGACTAAATTAGCTGTAAGCCATATTTAAAAAAAAACCTGTTTTTTCAGAATGTTCATGTTTATTCCTTCAGTTGCTATTGTTTTTCATTCCAGATTTTAAAATTTGTTCTCCCTACTGACTTTCTTCCCCTCTTACCAGACTATTATCACATTCCAGTAAAATAAAATGAGCTTAAAGGTAATGATGGTGTATTAGTGCATCTAGTTAGACAGGCTTTAAATTAATTACTTAGGTTTTAGAAGATGAATAGGCAAGAATTTAATAATGTACAAATAATAATTATAAAACATTTTAAAAAATTATATTTGAAATATATTACAAAAAGAAAAGCCTTTGCTTTTAGAAACATTTGTTTAAACAGATTTGCAATTGTAAGGATAAATAGCCTTCAAAGAAGCTCAAAGTGGTCTGCTGTTACGAGTTGATAGTAGCAAATTGGTGTCACTAGGCTGTGCCTTCCATCACAAGCTGTTTATTATAGTATTTACTAGTTATCTGCTTTTGTGTTAAAACTCATTTTGGATGTTAATGCCTTCAAACGCAACCTAAAAATACTACTGGTACTGTAACTGGTAAGCAAAAGGCATTTTCTATCAATCAGCCACAATAATTCAGCTCTTATCTGAAAATTTGCAGTGTGTTACACAGTGAGGAAATATTTTTAATTTATAATGAAGTGCTTTATGAATACCTCTTATGCTGTAACATGTTAAAAATCAAGATTAAATTTGCAGTAAAGACCAGTTATCTAGTTTCCTCATAAATCCTCCCAGCGTTTCATGCATGTATTGGTAAGAAAGGTCAGGTCAAAAATAGTTTAACTAGTCTGACACTAGTGTTTCCAGTGCTGTCATCAAAAAAAGCATACATTTATATAAAAAGTGCACAGCATTTAATACAGAAAGTGTGAAGTAGTAATTCTTAATATTTTTAATCCAGAACACACAAAAACCTCATAATTCACTAACTATCATTCTTCCCATGTATCTTTGTCCCTTGTGTTAGACATAACTGGACATACCATTGTCCCCTTTTTCCATTCACAGTGCTGCTGGAAAACAGCATTTAAAACAGAATTGAAAGTAATGAGAACCAAGGACAAATAGTATTCATAAAAATATGTTTACAGTTGTAACTATTGTAAACATTGAAAAATGTCTGTCATTTTTTAAAAATCAACACTAAGCAAAACATCTCTGATTACAAAGCAAAACAGAAAGCTAAAAGTTAATTTATTGATGATCTGTGTGGAATAAAATCTAATGTAATGTTTTTCATTTATTTCTATATAATTCAAAACATTGAATTTTATTTTTAATTATCTAGCTGAAGCAGATGGGAATGCTTATGGCTACATGGGAACATTTAAAATACTCTCTGGGACATCATTTACTCCTGCTTTGCAAAACAGATCATCAGCTGATTTCAAAGTCCTTGCCTTTGACATTGAACAAGTGGTAAGAACCTATTGGTCTTTGGTTAATTCAAGAGTATGTGGTAGGTACGTTAATTCCCTAACATGACCTGCTGTTGATGGCTTTTTGCTCTCTCCAAAATGAGATATTTCAGGTCCTAAGCCTGGTCGGAACTCAATATATTGTTTATTTGAGAAAATCAGTGAAGTATCAAATAAAAAGTTTGCTTCTGTAGTCTAGATTTGGGAAGGAAAAAATATTTAGTATTAAAACCTTGAATGCAGTGTGCAGCTGGGTGTATTTTTAATTACTGTTGGTTCAAGATTTCTCTTTTCCATATAGATACAAAATGTCTTTCAAGCAAGTGATCTGAAAAACCAATTTGAGAGATGTGAAATTTCCCAGTTCAAGTAGGTGCAGTTTAACTGAACTTTGCAAATAAATGTCAAAAGTCCTCACTTCATTATTTCTCTCAGGAGTGCTTACCAATACTTTGCTTTTCAAAAGATCCTTGGGAACGTCCTGTATTATTCCTTTCATGCCTTACGTCTTCCAAGTGCTGCTGTGGGAAGTTTGACACCAATGTGTTTCCATGGGCAAACTTCCTTCTCAGACTCCTGTATGTCCGTGCCTTGACTAAACCAGTAAGGCTGAGCCCTAAGACCAACTCACAAAGCTTCTGTATTTTAAAGAATTGCTAAGATCTTATTTTTCTTTTTTCCTAAGGCTTATCAGTTGTGCTGTGTTTGCAGGGTTGCTGGCCCTTGCCATCTAGAAGAAAGTTCAGGTTAGAGATCTGCTGGCATAAGCTGAGATGAATGGAAATACACTCATATGTCCCTACGGACATGGATCCACTTAATTTCTATTCCTTAGGGTGTTAGCAAGTGAGGCTGTCATTTGACACCAGGTAAAGCTGCACCCTGTGTGTCCTAAAGAGTCCATAAAATAGGTACAGTAAGACATGCTTCATTTATTAAAGCTTTTTTGGCCTCATTTTTCAATATCTTATGTTGTTGTTGTCCTACTGAAGGCCAGCTGGCAAAAAAGTCCAGTATATGCAGTGAGATCTGTACTGTTAATTCCACCTGCACTGTTTTTTAATAAGGTCCTGATTCAGCAAAACACATGTAATACTGTTTGTTTCCCATTATTAAACAGTTTCAGAACACGCTTCCATCCCATCCACAACATTATAAACTCAAGGGGTATTATATGCTTTTGTGTTGTGGGGTTTTTTATTTTTTTTTTTTTTCTACAGGAAATCTGAAGACGGCCGTGAAAGATTCAAGAAGTCAGACGTTGGGTAATTGCATATGACAAAGTTTACTTAAAATACGGGCAAGAGACAGTGATGCTATTAATTTAGAAAGTTCTTCTGTGGACAGTGAATAGATGAAAAAATACATCTTAGAGATTGGACAAGGCCCTCTAAAGAGCGTATGAAGCTTCAAGACATACCTTTCCTCCAAAAAGATCCTTTAGGATTAGAAGAAAAAAAATGTAATAGTCCTTGGGACTGTCAATTTAGAAAGAAAAATGGGAAAGGTAAGGACAGTGAAGTAGGTAGGAAGCTAACTAGAAAGGAAAGGATATCATTTTGTGCTGAGCTTGCTTGTGGAAAGCTGCTTAGACTGGGGGGCAGATCTCACGTTATCATTAGTAACTTAAGTTTTAAATAAAGAAAGGTCTAATGACACACTAGGGTAGGCAAGAACAAAACACAGGACAAAAGGTTATGACTCTAGAAGAACTGGAAGACCTTGAGAAATGAATGATATAGTTAGTTGTCTTATAGGTGAGACCACAAAATGAAAGAAAAATGCACATTATATGACAACAGATGATGCAATTCTGTGATTCTGTGATACCAGCTGTTCTTGTGATATGAATGTTTTCTGTAAATACATAAAGTGGATAAATATTCAGAGGAGATAGTTCAGTTGAATGACCATGCTTGCAAAATTAAAATGGATATTAGCCAGCCGTGAATACATGTAAGTTGAAAATGGGAAGCAGATTTGAATTAGAGCAATCTTTTGATTGGATTAGTGAGGGCATAAACCTAACTAGCTAGAAAGGTGGAGTATGATCACTTTATGAAGGATTTTATAATATCAAGGGAATGGAGTACACAGTGGTAGGAATAGGTCACTTCCAGGTTTTTCTCCTTGTGAAGGTAGACCCAATCAGCACAATTTGGTTTCTGCACATAGATTGGGACTATTCTCACCAAATTTGGGCATCAAAGATGGAGACATCTCTGAGCTAGTTACTAGTGATGGACTTTTAGAGTTTTCTCATCTGGTCAATTCAGATGCCTTTTTTAGGAGATCAGTTATGCCAAAGAGCAGCTTATTTCTTTCCATCAACTACAACGGGAATCTAGATATCTGCACTGTAAAGATCTATATTTGGTAAAACCAATTCCACCCCTGTATCTTGACACAAATACCACAGAAATCACAGAAAATCTGATGTCAGCGAATGTTGGATCTGGTTTTTAATACATCGGTAAGGATCTGTCTCCAATTCTGCTTTGAAATAGTACTTGAAATATTACTTTGTCTCAGAAATTATTTTGTAGTTGACTCTTTTCATTTATAAAGTGTTTACTTTGGGCAATCTCCTTGTTATTTCACCCCTGAAACTCTGCTGAGTCACAAGGATAGCAATAAAAGCTTTTGTTTGCTCAGCATGGCCTAGAGGCTATCAGAAACGTGTAAGAAATTAAAGAGGAGAGTTTTTCCATATATTGCAAACTGCAAACTGTGCTCAGCAAAATGGTAGGATTAATCACCCCTTATCAAAAAGCACTGCTGAGTCAGTTGCAATTGGGTAGTATATAGGCTTAAGAATAAAAAAAGTTTGCACCTAAATTTAAGTAAATGGAGAAAAACTTAATCTTTAGCAAGCATCATACTTCGACACTACCTTAATCTAGCTACAAGTATAAAACTTAGTAATACTATCTAGAAGGGATGGGAGAGAGCAAACACACAACACTGGATAAAATTCAGGCCACATAGAAGTTAAATGTAGTTTAACCACTGATTTCAAAACATCTGTGCTTTCAGCCATTACTGTTTCCTTATGAGAATCCAGGCAGTGACACAGAAGATCCTCACAGATGAGGTTTGCTTTATAGAAGTGATCACTTTTTATTATATTTTTGTAACGTGAATATATTATATAATTTTCATGACACTTCAAGGTTCACCATCAATATTTTGGGGCTTAAACTAGAAGACCTGTTGAATAACAATAAACCTACTTCTCCTTTAGTTTATTCAAATTCAGCTCCATTGCAGCAATTGATAGGAATGTTGTTTTGGGTTTTTTTCCACAGTGAAAATAAGAGTAGGTAAAGAAAAAAACCTGTTTCTCCAAGGTTCAAACCAGCTGATAATTAAGAGGTGTTTCTTTATGTGTCATCTTTGCCAGCCAACACTTAAAGATACTCTGACTTTGCAAATGGAACCTGTGTTGGAATGAAATATTTTCTAGATGATAAGTCATATATCAGATTTACTTCATTAGCTTGCGTAACTAATCACCTTCTCTGTTTTGTATTGCTAGTGTTGTTGTTATCTTCAACCTTTATTTTACCCAGATGGTAACAGTTGAGAAAGTAAAAAATGAGCTGGTTTTGAGTATCAACGCAAATAAAACTAATCTTACCCAGACTTTGAAAATTGATGTGAACAGCATACAAGTCACAGGTAATGCTAGTAAACATTTTTTCTCTATATAAATCCTTGAGAACTACAGGTAACATAAATGAAAACTTTGGATCCCAAACAGCAACACTTGTAATTTCGTTATCCCTCATATTAAAGCAATTAAGCCCCAACTGTGGTGTTTCATAAGTAAATGCAATTATCATTTTGTTTTGCTAAAGAATAAGGAAAAGGGCTCAGCCTCACAGTGAGTGAAAACTCACTTATTGAAAAGATGTCAGTAAGAACAACAAACTGAATACATAGTGTGGTTTCTGGACAAGTACGCCCAATGAACTGACTTCATATTCCTCTAAAGCTGAGGTGAAGTGTAAATGGAAAAAAAGGAATGTGGCTTTAAAGAGCAGGTAGTTTTAAATTCTGCAAATATACGAATATAGTGATTTTATGTAAGTACTAGAAAGTTTATCAAATCCTAAATGGAAGTCCAACAAGATCAATGGGAATCCTTGTTTTCACCTCAATAAACTTCAAAACAGACCTTCGCTGAGGATGAGGATAAAAAGTAATTTGAATCCTTTGAAGTGGAAGTTGATCAGCTGACATTTGAAGACCTGCTGGAGATACTATTAAGTAGCAACTGATTGCTTTAGGAGGAGTGGGACATCTGGTGTGCAATGTCTCTTACTCTATTCTAAAAGGTGCATTTTTTGCTAAGTACTACAGATATTCAAAGGCTAAATTCAGAGTTTTGACATCTTTATTTCTCTTTACTACTTGCACCACATATAAGAAGTTGTTCTAAATAACTGCACATCACTGTGGCAAGTGATTGCTCATTATACTTCAAAAACGCCACCAAAGAAAATCATGAAGAGCGTTTTAAAAGGTTGTATATCTATTGATGAACTTTGAAGTAGTCAAAGTTTTCTTGCTGTGCATCATTAAAATGCCTCTTTTCACATGAGATATCATCTGTCCATTCCATCAGGAGTGCTTCGATAAAATAACAACTGTAACTAATTAACAATCATAATCATATATGGCACTTTTGCATCCTATATCTCAGTATGTTCTGCAAGAGAAGTCTTATTTCAGAGAGGGAGGGCACTATAACACAGGTGTGACTTGCTTGGAATCACAGTTTTCACAGTGATTAAAAGTAACTGTCTGTCTTGCAAATTATCCCAGGTTAATTTTAATTCATTAATCTGATCTAAATACTGTTCTTTAAGGCACAGGTGCTCTGAAAATCTCCATAGTATAAAAAGCGTCAAGACAGAGATTTCCCAGAAGAAGACATTTTATGTGCAAGACAATGAATAGGGATTGAGGATTGAAAGGGATTAATATAGACCTTTCCTCCTTAGGAAGATCATAGAGTTTGGGAAAGGCTGGGAACAGGGTGAGATGCTCAAAAGGAGGGAAGTGGGACACTGATAGTGATTCAAAGAGAAATAGTCACAGCTGATTTTTTTTTTTAACCTTTCTTTCTCTGAGCTGTATAAAACGAGATACTGTGCTATAAAAGGAGTTTATAATGAGCTTGCTTTCTTCCAGTAGCTGCAGAAAATCTTACTACAATGATGCCTTTAACTTCGTCAGGTCAGTGTCTTTCATAAAACAGAAACTATTTTTTGTTACCAATACAACATGAAGAAACACAAGACTTGCTGTTCAGCTGGTGTAACTTAGTAAAGCTGCCTTGGCTGTAGTTAGGACTTGACTGCCAGGATCCATTCAGTGATAGTTAGCCACCCGTCATCGTTTCTGACCATTTGCGAAAGCAGTGACCTGAAGTCTATACAAAAGCTCTAAGAGCTTAATTAGTGGGTAAAACCACTAATTGAGTTGTCCATCAACCAGCTGAGTCACAGGCTGACGTTTTCACAGATTTAGGCAGGTAGATGAGGCTGGGGAGTCCTACTCTCATGCCATGGTTACTGATCTATGGAGCAATGTTGATTGATAGGCTTTCCTTCCACTATCACTGGAAGTTTTATAACGATAGGGTATGAAGCAGACACAACTCCCTTGGTCTCACAAATTCACTGAGTACAAACCTGCCAAAAGTCAGTCAGACAGCTGAATAATACAGTAGGTGCTTTGTAGCACTAGGTGCAGGTAGAGTTGTCGTATACAAACTGCATACAAATTCTCCCATACAAATTCTCCAGGGCAGGGTACCAGACTAGGAGCTTCGTGCAATTTATGTGAGCTAAAGAAATGCACGTATGAATATAGGAGCCAAGTATTTACTGATAGTCTAATCACAGGCATAACAACGAAAGAGTTATTATTAGTCTAGTTACAGGCCTACTAACGTGTATATTCCAAAGTGTACAATTACTACAGCTTATTCTCAATGATAACAGTTAAAACTGCTAACATACAAACTTTCTCCTATCTATCCCTTCCTCTGGTGTGCTATCTCAATGCTCCCCTGAGTTCTAAGTTCAATTTTGCTAATCATCCTCAAGAAGAAATTGGGAGGTGCCAGAGGAAGGGGGAAGGGAGTTGGGAGTTGTCAGCACCCCAGGCTAGAATGGGAATAATGTTCCTGGTGTGGAGTCCTTCCCCCTTGGTCTTGGGTCTGCTTGGGGTCATTTTTATATGTTTGCTAACACTGTCTGCTTCCTTGCTCTTTCTGTTTCAGTCCAAATCCCACGATATACCCAAGTTTTACCTTATGTGGTATGTTTACATCTGCTGGATGCTTGGGTTTTGGCTCTGTTGACCCTAAAACTATCTTTGTCCACCTCACGTGTTACTTTAGTGAGATCACGCAGTAACTGACCATTTGTGATTTGTGCTTATACCACTGATGCCTCTGTCGCTGTCCTACGCTTTTCCTTTCATGGCTTTTGCTGTCAACGTGTGCGTGCACTTTTGGGAGTGCCTGTAACAATCCCTGTTTTTTTCAACAGTCTTCAAGACATAGCTTCCTGATAATTGTTTTATTAGGACTGCTTGCTCATGCGTGCATCCATGTTTTAGGTCTTTGAATGTTCCATTCCTTCCAAAACAGTGATCCTTTAGAAAATATATAGACAGATATGTAGGTAGATACATATGTATATAACACTTCAGAAACTACTGTGAAGCTATGAATGAAGCTTCCTTCGCTGAATGTAGCTGTGTGAGAACAGTCTGTCCAACTGCACCCTCTCTGCACCTTCTGCTGGGCTTTCCTCTCTCTCTGCCAGAGGAACTGTGTCCTTAAATTTGCTGACATAGAATGCTCCGTAATCCATTTAATACAAAATGGCCTACCTTAGTTTAATAGTGCATGCTAAATCAGCATGTTTTGATAGAAAATTGTTAGGAAGTCCTCATGCAAGTTTGTGCACTAGTAGGTCTGGGAGAGCAGGAACAGGTAGCAAAAGTAACTCTGTGATGGCCGATGATCAGCAACTTTTGCCAGCAAAACTGATAGATGACAGTTTTGTCATATAGAGAAGGCCTTATAGAGAAAGGCCTTATAGAGAAAGGCCAAAACTACAGAGAAGGCCTTACTACACCTCACACTTTATTCCTTCTGGCCCTTCATCTTATAAACTAAGGGACAGGATCTATTAACTGTAGCAACATGGGGATCTTTTTCAGCTGAGGGTATCATCATCCTACTCACATATTTGAGTCTTAATGTAGAAAGTAAAAATAGTAAACAGGTATGCTAATGCAAATTCAAAGAGGGAAAAAAAAGTCTGTTTGGGAGCTGGAAATGCCAGGGGTATCCTCAGTGATTGTTATTAAAAGCATCACTAAGTGGAAGTTGTGTTGGAGCAATCACAAATAAGCATTCAATTTTTCTGGAATGTTGTGCAGTTTACTATCACTAATACAAATCTACTTAGGTACCTAGGCATTGGTTCATGTGTAAATATGTATACACACAGGTAGTATGTATGCCTGTATGTAAATGTACAAATACTGGATAGGTTTGAGGCTCCTCTCCTCACACCGTGATAACTGATTTGTTGAGCAATGTTATTTATAAGAAAATGTACATATACCTTTTAGTACTAATATTAAAGTTGTTGTAACATGTCTTGTTTCAACAGATCCCATGAGCCTAATTACAAGCTCCCTGACAACTTCAGGTCAGAACTTTTACTTACCAGGGGAAGACAAGAAAGCATTGTTGTTATTTTAATGGGGAAAAAAAACCCAAAAGTCTTTTGAAGTTATTGAAAAGCATGTGACTAGAGCTAAAAGAATGAGATTTAAAATACACTTGGGTTCCACATTATTTTTCTTATGTTTGTTGTGACATTTGACCTTCAGGATTGAGCCACTCAAGCTGGCGCTACCCTATCATTACCTCAGCTGAGGTTTGGGGATACAGCAAATAATGCAGATATAAGAGCAGACTAGCTGCTGCTTAGTTCTGCCCAAGCAACTGCAGAGGTGCTCCCAGAGAGCAAGAAGTAAAGTTCTGACCTTGGGTTGTGTTTGCCCAGGTTCCGGACAACTCACCACAAGCAAGTCCTCAACAACTGCAGGTAGGTAACTACGTATGGGGAGAAGCAGGGAGCTTATATGAAACAGTCTGAGATCTTAGAATTACACTGTTTGTGTACCGCCTCTTTGAGCGTCGTTCAATTCTTGCATCCCATTCCTACAAATACACAATATGCGGGTTTACCTTTGATTTGACTAAGGAGACCCTTTCAAAGAGAAAGGACTTCGAAGACTGTACGTTCTACAAAAATGGTATATATGTTGTGTATATTGATGTATATATTGACACTCATACTGACTGTGCATTTTTGTTTCCTATTATTTCTTGGGGCTTTTTGAAAAGAAAAAACTGTTAGCAAACTCTCACATGACTTCCAGTGGACAGAAAGCCAAAGCTGTCTGAATCTTTGAAATCCTCCCCTAGCCTTATTAAATGGTGAAATATATATGACATTTATAAGCATTTTCAAATGGGTCTAATGTACTTACTGCCATTTTTTAGTAAAGTATAGCAATTACATTGCAATTTAGGGTAATTTGCTGTTTTAAAAAAAAAAGTCAAAATGTTTTACTAGAAAATGTTAATTTCTTTCTATCCAGTAGGTGGCAATGCTGTTTAGTTTTCTGAGTTGAAGACTAAAACTAGACTTGATCATGTCGTATGTAAACATGTTTGCTTGCATATTGGGCTTGTGCAAAACATATTCCTAGGTTATTGGCTGGGTTATTGTTCTGGGTCTAGAATGCACAGTTTCATCTCTGCTCATCTGTGGCAATTCATTCATTGGCACTGTATCACCGCCAACACTTGACTAAAGTATGTTTGGTTTGCTTCAGTTACCCATTGGATGCAAAATGGCAGCTCTTTTGCTTTACACTGTCTGCATCGCTAACACTGAAAGTGTTCTGTAAAGCACTTTGAAATGCTGCAATACAGCCAAACCAATTTCAGTCTTAGTCACTTATACTGATATCATACAGTACAATATCATACAAGCATTTACTTAATCTGATTACAGAACTAACAGTTTTATGAAAAAATAAATCAAGCAGTAATGGTTAGAGGCTGCAAGATCAGTGTTAAAAGTTAATGTTTTTCCTTCTTGCATAAGAAACCTTGAACTTTCCAGTAAGCATTTACTGAAATAAAGAAAAGGAACTATGTGAATCGTGCTAGGTGAATAGTTTCCATAGAATTTAATGCAATTTTCAAGAATTTTGAAATTAGTAGTTACCCAAAGCTAATTTTAGCTGCATGTTTTTGTTCGCTTTAATAGGACCTACTTGAATTCTACAGATGTCTAAGACCAAAACCATCTAAAGACTAAAAGAGCGTGTTTGCAGTGGATGAACTTTTATGCTCTAGGAAAATACTGTTAGTGAGATTCCACAACTTTAAGGATCTGCCCATGTATTCTTTTTGCAGAAATTTGCTCTTAACTTATAAATTTAATTTGCAAATCTGAAAAGAATAGGCTTTCTGATATTCCTGGTATTTCAAAATCCTGTCTTAAAGGCTTTCGTTTTCAAGATATGCTGGTTAAAAAAATGAGATTCTTTAGGATGATGAAGTGCAACATCGTGACATGTTGAAGTTGAAGAAATTAAATTAAATTGTATTCAACTCAAACCAGAGATTTTTCACTGTTATTTAAGCCCAAGTACAGTTTTCTCATGTTATTCAAGCATAAGAAATTGGAAAATGTCATTTATTATATTGCATAGAATAGTTTATTTGGGCAGAGGAAGGCAATGGGAATTCATGGAAATTTTCTTCCAGCCCTACTTCAAGCTTAGTTTCAAAAAATGTCACTTCTGAGAACTTCCTCCATTCTGTGCCAAATTTATCTTTTTAATATGTGATATTTCATTCCAGGCTTCTAAAAATGCATTTTTGTAAAACACAATAGAGTGGTTGATTTGATTTGTGCTAGAGTAACCAGAGGTAAGTCAATTTTCCTTTGTAGTGAAAGTGCATTCCTG